AGTCCAGCACACGCGCGTGCAGCGGCCATTGTTACATAACCATCAGATATACGCGTTTTACATGCCTCGAGCTGCCATTTACATAGTTCGCCGATTAAACGGGGACTCGTTCGAACTGGCGTTCCGTGCGACTAGAAAGCCCGCGCGCGGAGGATACGCTTAATTAAGATCAATTACGATTGACGTTATCGCGACGCCGGAATTGGGCAAACAGCCGTATTGGCGGGCAATGCAGGAAAACGCGTCACGGAATGTTTCGCCGGAGAAACATGGAGGTCCGTGTGTGTCGGCGGCCTCGAACGGCCGCCGCGGACCACCTGAAAACACAGCTGCACGCGCCAACGCCTGCACGGTGCGCCGATTCGTTGATTCCTCTCCCGTCCCGTCTTCGTCTTCTCCTCTTCTTTTTCGTTAATTTCCGAATGAACGACGGCACGTGTCGCGCGAGCGGCGTAATCGAGAGTCTAACGACACCGAACGACGCGGGCGTTACGTAGCTTACACGTAACGCTCGCTGTCGCTCGCCTCGCGGCTCCTCGAAATGACGAGCGGCGAACAACAGGCCGCCGCCCGTGCAACGGTGTTCGATCTACGTCACCGGCGATCGAGCAACCGGCAGGTTCGCCGATAAGCCGAGCAAATATCGCGCGCATCGGTGTCTTCTTTGACGTAGACACGAAGCTAGTTGCAATGGTAACGAGATAATGGAATTACTCCGCGGATTCACGTTGTCGGCCGCGGCGGTTCGACGCAGTTGGTAAACGCATTACGGCCGCCACTCGATAACGTAACCGCCGCGAAAACGGCTAGATCCGGCGATAGCGGATGAAAACGTCTCTTTCGAGCTTCAATTAGCCGCGATTGCGGGTCTTTCGCAATGGCCACGATACCCTTTGAATTGACGCAGACGATAATGGCCGGAGAGGCGACGAATCTACTCGAGAACGCGGAATGGGGGATTTTTATCGATTAACCCTTTCAAGGACGTTTCCGTTGCGCGGCCATGAATGCGCAGATTCCCTTCGTCGCCGATAGACGCAGCTTTCTGTGTACAAACACGCCACTCGTAGGAGGTTTCTTGATACCAGGATTACAAACGACGCGAGCCGTAATGGGAAAATTACATGGAAAAAAGTGGAATGCCACGGTGGGGGTCGGAGAAGTGGATACAAGATAAAATTAATTATCGTAATTACTAACCTCCAACGGCGGAGTTCAGCGAGATAAACCTAGGCTGTTTGGTAACCTAACCCTGTGGAAGTTGGGAAACAACAACGAACTACGATTACGGGATTATTTAATTATGCCTGGAATCTTGTTGTGCGTCGCTCGAGTAATAACAAACAGACCACTCGAGTGCTTCCGAAGTGCTCGATAAGGCGAGCGTTGCTTAAACTTTTTGTTCCGATGGTATCGATTTACATAGATTACTTTTTACACGGTACATTGTCCTTAACTCTTGACAAGCCGGCACGTGTTTGTACCCTGATTGAACCGTAGAAACTCGTTGGCATACAACGAGAGAATTGAATCAGAAAATTTCGGTAAGATAATTTGCTGGATCACGAACGAGGGAGATATGTTGGAGGAAATGATGCGGCGATAGAATACCTGAACACTTTTGTTTCTCCGCGAAAAGGAATTCGAAAGCGTGTTCATCGGACACTGGTGGGTTCCTTAGGGTTAACGAAGAAGCATCCGAACACACGAACAAGCGTGTAAATTTCATCGTGGAACGCTCAACTCTCTGCCAAGTCTTCGTTACCCGCGGGCAGGGATGTTTGCCGCGCAACGACGCAACTGAATGTCCGGGTTATCACCTGTCGTTACGTAATCTGCCATCTTAGTTCTGCGATTAAAAGTCTTCCTCGTGTAACATCGAGTGTGTACAG